TGTTAACCCGAGCAGCAACTTTGCAAAATCTCTCATGTTAGGAGCTTGTTTAGTGTGCATTACCTGTAGCAGTGCTCGGGATGTAAGTAATTTCAGGCTGAATGGCGATTCACTCTGCGGCCATCCTGCCTGTAGCCTAAGGCAGTGGGGTTGCAGTGGAGAGGGAGCGTCAGCACCAGTCAATTACCAGTTAATAAACAGTGGAAGTTTTCTATTAGTGCTTGTTAGTGCGTGTAAAAGATTGTTGGTATGTGGAATTGGGGGAAGGCACTGTGACTATGGAATTAGAAAAAAACAGGCATATTTTCTTTCCCTGTGTCTAATACACAGCACCCAGTTCTCTGTATGCATGCCGTTTATGGAGATAATATTTGTTATTTGATTTTCAGCAGGCTATACAGTGCAATATATTGTATTTGCAAACTCATTTTTTTCTTTTGAACAGTCCAGAAATGTGTGCTCAGTAGTTTCACTTAATGCAGTATTTCATAAGTGTCTATAGAGCACTCTCTCCAATAAAGAGAATCCATTACATAAGCACGGTGGAGGCCAAACAATGCAATACTGGCTGCAGTGTGTGCTGATAACATTATGGGCCCCTGATGAATATGATGCATGCACCCTTTTTGGATAGCAGTTGTCACAAATCTGATGTGTGGAAGATCTCCCACATTACTGAGAGCACATTTCACTATGCTTACAGAGCGATATTGCTGTAAGGAAAAACAGTGCACCTGAGTAGCCTTGGGAAGTAAAACAACATTAATTGGATTTGGGAAAGTCATCCTTACCAAGGGGACACTGCTCTGACGGTCTGACAGCCGAGAGCATGAATCATTAAAACCATACCCTGTCATATTAGACCACTACCAATAACCACCACTGCTTACATTTGTTGACATACAGAGCCAAGAGCTGTAGCAGTGTGTAACTGGGCAAAAATGTTCACAGTAGATAAAAGACAGTCACAATAACTTGTCCCATCCATTCTGTCCTGTAGCAATGGGTGTAATGCACACATTTTACATTTATCTTCCAGAAAAGCGATGGATGCTCTTTTGCTAACCATTGCCACCTGGCACCAGCATATGGGCTGGCGCCCTCTTGGGGTAATGGGTGGGGCGGACTCTCTGTCGACCATTGGGTCATTGGTAACCAGCAGCTGGGAGGCCGCCCTCTCATCACATCAACAAATCCCGCTTTAATTAGCTCACCTGCCCGTTTCCTCCCCACGCTCCCCAAAGTCCTCCATCAAACCTCCCTCAGCCGGCTTACAGCCTCACCTCCCTCTCTCATCCTGCCTCCACACCTGGGAATAGCTTCAGCTTCTCAACTTCACACCTACAGCTCTGCAGACACACACATACACACACAGACTGTGCTATAAACAAGACTGACAATTGACTTTCAGAAAGCTTGGATCTCATTGATTTTTAAATGGTGCCTCACTGATACCTTATTAGCATTGGGATCGCCACTATGATCATCATTGAAGACCCACGTTTCCTTTGTGCCCGTCAATATAATTTGCACATTCACAGGTGGAAATGATCTCACAGGCTTTGTTGTTATGCTCATCTGAGCTCTTTGCATTGGCTGTTTAAAGAAGTTCAATAAGTGGACAAGGGGTTTACTGTATTGATCATAGTCACTGTCTGCACTTTGATGGAAACACAATCCTCACCTTGGTGTCCTAGTGCACTTGAAGCCATGTGAGCCAACAAAAACTGTTTCATGTAACAGTCAGAGTTGTATTCCACATATGTAAGATATGTCCCATGCTAATTATTGCATATGTGGATTTACATCATTTTCCTACACAGAAAGAAGAGCTGTTTTTAAGCATAACAGGGTGAACAATGTTCAAAGACTAGATTACTCTTTATACATGAAATAATTTTACAAGAGTAGAAATCAGATTTTTCAAATGGTGAATACAGTCAGGGTAATTTTGTAAAACATCCACCGTGTTTTACGTTACTGTGTTTTCCTTGTAGGCTTCATTTCGTTGCCTATAAACAAATTGATGCAGTGTATTCCCACAGAGCTCTATTTGGGTTTCATCTATCCATAGAACATTGTCCCAGAAAGACTGTGGCTCATCTATGAAAATGTTTGCAAACATTATGCTGGCCTTTCTGTGCCTTATTTTTTCAATAGTGGTGTCCTACTCGGCCTTTGCCCATGGAGCCCAACTTGGTTTAATGTGCGACGTGTGGCGCAAACTGAAACCACTACTCCACATTGCTCCAGGTCAGCCTGAAGCTCTTTATGTCTGATTTTGTGTTTTTTCCACAATCCATAGCAACCTTTGCAGACTTCTCATTGAGTTTCTTCTTAGCCTCGCGTTATATGACTGCAAAACATCTTGGTAACATTACAAACTGTTGAATTTCAAAATCTTTGGCGACGCCCTCATAGCCTTGGGAGTTTTTATGTTATTTGATAATAGCCTTTCTGATGCTTTTAGACAGCTCTCTTATCTTCAGCTCCTTTTTATGCAGTAAAACCATCATTCATTGGTTAATTTGGGTCATGTTAACACTGAAAATAAGCACTGATTAATCTTATTGGTTTTTATTTTATTTTGATAATTGTATCCATTGTACATTTTGTGTTTGTATTTTTTTGCTATTATGCCAGTTTTTTTCTTCTTTTTTTTTTGCATTTATCTCTAAAGATTCTCTAAAAATTCTGAATTATGTACTTGAAATTCAGGGTTTCCAATCATTTTGACCAGGACTGTATCTCATTAAGAAACAAGCTTCTTCATTTACACATCAGCTCTTTATCTGAATGATCCCATGGCACATTCCTGCCCTTGAATATCTTATGAAGTTGGGGACTGCTCTGATAGAGGGGATAGATCCCACTTGTATTGCCATACTGACTCTGGAGAGTGCTAACAGACAAAACAATCTTGGCCTGGGAAGATTGGTCTACGATGCTTTCCAGTCTCAGGTGACTGATAAAATCCAACCACTATTGAACCACCAGTACAGTCCGCTATAGTGCTTTAGTCCCTCTGGTCCACAGCCACTCTCTCTCTCTTCACCGCGGGGCTTCCATATGGACACATATTATGGCTGCCACTTAATTACCTATCAAAAACATTTCACTGCACTTGATGAGGGGCTAACAGAAGGGGAGAGGGAGAAAAAAGACAGAAACAGTGGAAAAAGAGCAGGCATAAAAAAAAAAAAGTGAAAGATGGGAATGAGAAATGGGAAAGTGGGACTGAGAGAGTGATATAGAGGACGAGCCATGCATCTGCATAGTGAATTTGAATAGATGGAGACAGACACGGAGAGGAGAGGGAGGGAGGGAGTGAAGGAATAGCCTTGCAGTGCAGATGGGGAGAGCAGTGTTCTAGCCGGCATTCTTTTTTTCTTTTTTCTTTTTTTTTGTTTAGTGTTTACGAACACACCCAGCAAGAGAAAAAAGGGGGCGTGTCCTGGCCAAGGGAGGCTATAAATTACCTGTGATTGATGCTTACCACCGTGGAGGACGACAGTTAAAGACATGCGGCGCTCATTGTTGACCCCCCTCTTCACTCCCTCCATCCCTTTTAAGCCCACCAACTCAACAGCTCACCCACTGCCACCCCCCACCATCCCGACAACACACAATTAGCTGTTCCGTCTGTCAAATGGCCCACCCTTAGCGGTCAAACACCAAAATAATAATCATTCCCTACCAGACAGACTGTTAGTTAGAAGAGCAGCTTTCACCATGGGGGGTTTGATGCACTATTAGCCACGGGCTCTATACTGTAAATGTCAACCTCCATCAGTTCTTTTCAGGCAAACTCCTATATGTCTAAGGAATATAAATTTATTTTCCCTTTTTAGTAAGATGTTGGTTCGTTTTATTGATAATAAATAGTTTGACATCTGCCTCGGTTCAGGACTTCAACCTACAGGACCCTTGTGTATTCCCATGTTTGTCCAATTTCAATTCTAAAAGTAAATGTCACATTCCAGTTATACTAACCCCATGTGTCTTTTTAGTAAATGTTCTGTGCATCTTAGAGCTTCAAAATTATTATTATTGCATAGCAACTGTATAATCACAACACTCAACCTTTTTGCATTTGGAAATAACACGGAAATGGAATGGCTTTTTGTGCCGAAGCATCTGCTATGCTCAAAGTGTTATTTTTTGTGTTTCAAAGTTTGCTGAACAATGCTATAAATACAGTGTATAAACTGATAACAAGTGAGCGGATAGCACAGATACTAAAAGAAATAGAACTAACGGTAACATGAACACCTGGCCTGAAAATAAATAAAATAGATAAAAATTGTGTAGTGTAGAGAGCTAGAGCTAAAGCTAAAACTAGGCCAAAACCCGAATGTTTGCGTCCAATAATAACTGAAACATCTTGCATTGTTTTTAGTGTTGGTCTTTAAATCTTGGTGTTGCTAGTAGAAAGCAATCTAGTTCAACACATGCAGGTTGGTGGGGGGTGGGGGGGTGGGGGGTACAGCTGGTTGTCCACTAATCAGAAGGTCGATGTTTTGATCCCCGGCTCCTCTTGTCGACATGTCAAAGATACTGAACCCCGATTTCCCCTGATGGCTGTGCTGTCGGTATGTGTGAGTGTGTGTCTGTGGTATGCGTGAATGTGGCAATGTAGTGTAAAGTGCTTTGAGTGGTTGATAAGACTAGAAGAGTGCTATACAAGTGCAGTCCATTTACCAGTTACGCTACATACTGATAGGAACATTGTGGGATAAGTCTGCCGTTTGTATACGTCATCGATTTTTAGCATTCAACATATAAAATTTGCTGATTTAGATACAGATTGTTCACACATCTGTCAAAAAAGGAATTCATGGAGGGATATTCTGTAATTCTGTGAAAATGTAAGAAAGATGTTCTTGGTGATGGCAGAGTTGAAGCATTTTTTTGGGGAGTGCATCAAAAGAATAAAAACATAAGTTTGCATTGTTGTTCCTTGATACACATTAAATCAATATTAATTTTGTCTTTTGTAGCTTGAAGCTGCCCTCCATAATCCTGTTCACTGTGCATTGTTGGGCTTCTCTGCAGCGAGCACCTCCTTACCTCAAGGCTACCTCTGGGTAAGTAATGTGTTGCGTACACACACATATGAATGGATGCATATAAACACACCCACACACTCAATTGAATGCCAAATAATTAAAACCAATGACAAGGCAAAATAATGCATATTTTACAGTTGCCGATAATTTTTGCTTTTAACACAATTACCATGACATTTTAAACGTCCTCTCTACATTCTGCTCTCATTCATTAAAAAAGGGAATAAAAAATGTATCTCAAGGCTAAGAATGGGACATGCACCATTTTTTCTCTGTAAAATGTCACCAGGAAACTGTGAATTAATACAGTATAAAGGCTAGTAGTAGGTAACTGCTGCTGAGTGTTTTATGATGAGTGGGGCAAATTGTGCTGCCTGACTATCACATCACAATCCCCAGACTTGGGGGAATTTAGCGGATCTAGAAAGAGGGGGAAATTCAGGAAAAAAAATGATGCACGGAATCTGCTATTAATCTTTAAGTTTCAATTTTTGCTCCCTCTCCTTTTTGCAGAAGGTGGGCTCTTTATCAGGTAATCCCCTTTTGACCTAAAACATAGCTAAATCAAGTGTAGGCCCTCAAAGACACAGAGTACAGCTCAGTGTCTCAGACTTAATTGCTTTTGTGGTGCTATTCTAAAGAGGGCTGGGTGCTCACTCAGATGGGGAAAAGGAGATACTATATGGTGGAGCTGGAATTTAGAACATAGTCCTGTCAGTGTTTGAAGGAGCATAGGCGTCTCTGACCTGCAACTTTTAGAGCACATAGTTTTACAGTTGGCTTAAATGCCAATGACTTTGTCCTCCCACACCATTCAGAAGAGCACAAGTTAAGCTGTTCACACTATGGGCCTGATTTACTAAAGCTTTGCGTGCGTAAAAACGTGCGCAAACGCGACAGCACGCGCAAACACATGTTGATGCTGATCTACCAACCGGGCGCACCAAGGATTGCGTCTGTCAGTCGGGCAAAGTAACACGCGCTATCCAATTTGCGCTTCTGCCTTCATGAATATGCAATATAGGCGTGCCTGCCAGAACACGCAAAATATTGGGAGGAGTAGATGCAAATAGAATCATTTTGCGCACGCAATGTGATTTACCAAACTTCAAACTAATTGCGCTGATTATTTTTGCGTCTATATTTAGCACGTTTGAAAGTCAAGTCTTAGGCTACCTGGCACAGCCGTGCGCACAGATGGCTGCGGTCATTGTTGCAAGGAGGCACAACAACAGGCAACGGAGAGAACGCATCTTTTCTGTTCGTGTCACTCTTTTTGGAATGGCAGAAAAAAAAATAATCGAGACATATCGGTTATCCGGCGATGCCATGATGTCCTTTGAAAAAGAAAAAAACAAAAAAGTCATTCGTTCAGAGTTCAGAGTTCAGAAAATCCTTAAATAATAAATGTTGCATCATAATGTCAAGTGTTTCTTGTTTGTGCTATTTTGACAAAACCAAAAACTCACATTTTTATGTACTAAAGCCCACTTTCTTTTAGACATAGGAAACATTTAGTTCGGCCGAGTTCCTATCATTTTTTCCTGAAACTTGAAACAAATGGAAAACGCACACACTTCTGCGCCCCTGCTGGAAAGCACAAACAAAAAAAAAACCCTTTTGGCAATTACGCTTTTCCATTGCACAGCTAAAGAACGTTCATGACGCACGTTCATGTCTTATGTGGTGTACCTGAATGAATTAAAAATATTCCCTCTATCCCGTAATCTGCTCACCACAGAACGTCAGCTGCACCTGCTGTTCAATGGGAGACAGAGGGTCCTCCTCCTCCGGTCCCCCACTGTTTATTTGCCGATTTGTTATTCTGTGCGATTTTTTCCTTTGTTCTTCTACGAATGTCTTGCCACCTTTTCTTCATTTCATCCGGTGTTCTTTTGGTTTTCCCCACAGCATTAACCTTGCCACAGATTGCCTCCCATATTGCGTTCCTCCTAATAACGGTTAAATTCCGTTGCTATAACTCAGAAATGTGCTTGTTTGCCTCTTGTACCAGCACCTCCAATTCCGTGGCTTCAAATTTGCGCTTCCGTTGGGTCTGCTCGTTTGCATTCGCCATGGTGAACACCCTTAACTCGCGCAAAATCCTCATTTAAATAGGGCCGGCTCGATCACTTTTGCGCCTGTAGTCAATTGCGCTGTTAACCTAAGTAAATCACTCGCAAGGCCCAAACAGGCAGCGCGCGCAATCTATCCGTGTGCCCACGCAATTTAGCGCTCTTTATTTGGGATCTTAGTAAATCAGGCCCTATATGTGTGACACTAGTAGAGAATACGTCAATAAAGTGAGCGAAGGCTAGACTAAAGCATGTGTTTTAAAGTTTTCAGTTCCTTCATAGCTGCATGCATTCATCAGCAAAAAGCCGGTTATCTGTAGTGATAATGTTAATGTTGATAAAGTTGATAATGTTTTTGAAGCATGGCAGCGAGGCATACTGCAAAGAGTTGAGTGTTATTAATTCACAACCAAGTTAAGTCTTGTATAGAGACAAGTTCAAGTCATGTCTTAAGTCAGTAAGAGAAAATCTCAAGTTGAGTCTTGAGACTTCATAGTGTTATCTTGTCTGTCATTCAGTCCATAAAGGTAGTTTCAGGCTGCTGAATGCCGACCAGCAAAATGACAGATCATTTCAATGTTTAGCAGACAATTTTTTATGAATGGAATTCACATCTAATGAGTGAATTTCCATAGATGTATATTATTCAAACCAACCTTGAACAGGACAAGCAGTTCATTGAGTATTAATCACATCAAACTCTCTTCCCTCACGATGAATGTTATATACTGCACAGTACAACACTTAGCCACAGCAAAAACAAACTGGTATCCACTAAAACACATAATAGTGAAGGCCTGCAGATCCAGCAAGAATAATTAGTGGCTGAGCGTTCCCGCCCCCAGTTGGTTCTACCTCCCTGGCAGGCTTGTCAAATAAGGGATGACACTAATCATGTTAAAGTGAGATGGGCTATGGGGATTTCTGTGTGCTTTGATCAGAGTAATGACATTGTGTCTAATCAGGCTGATACCCCAGTGTTTCCCTGTTTGCTTCACCCTCCTTGTCCCACTTTTCCCAATATCCTACTTCTCATTTTTTAGATAAAGTCTCCATTAACTCTGCCCTCACGTTTCTCATCTTATACATTTATTCAGCATGTTAGCATTCATAGCTAGCGCCAGTGATAGGGAACTTGAAATGTATTTTCTTCAGAGTATATCAACAATCTGGTGATCCATGGTTTTGGCTTCTTAATGTGGCGAATAGAGTTGAGCAGAGTGTGCTATCATGACCATTCTCCCACGCTTCCTCGCTGTGTCCAGAGCAATCTAATTAATGCTGGCAGAGCATTTACTGTTTGGGAAGTTTTTTGCTTCTCCCAAGCTGAGAGGAGGAATCTGTCCAGGGCACAGTTCCAGATATCTATTTCTCCAAATAAGTAGTGATGACTTTGTCAGGACACAACATTTGCACTGGCTGTTGGGGGGTGGATCGTGGTGACAGTTGTGTGTGGAAGGGTTAGGGAGGTACAGATGGACATGTGAATGTATAAATTGTGTAGGAGTCTGGGTGAGGGGGCCCTTGCCTCTGGCTTTGGTTACTCAGAGTCACTTGAAACTGTGTTTTTTTTGGGCCCCTTGCTGCAAGATAAGTCTTCCCTATCTTCTTTTCACCCTGTGCAACAGACCATTATTTGTTCTGGCTCATTCTCAAGAGCCCACAGGATCGCTCCTGTCCAGATTCTGCACGCTGATACAAATCAAACAAATGATTGCATGCAAATAAGGGTGAGCATGGAGGAGAGGAGCTAAAGACTATATTTAGCTCATGTCACATTCACACAATGTGATTCATACAGAGAATAAATCTTCGCTGTCTAGCACCAAGCAACCGTGCCATTTTTCCCCAAGAAGGGCTTTGTATTTTGTCTGGACTTCCACCTAGGCCTCACACAGGGGTAACAAATGAAATTATATTGAAAACCTACAGTGACACTTTAATTGTTTGGGAATGGGAGCAACACCACCTTAATTGGAATTGCATCAGAGAGAGGTTGGGGGGCTCTTGCTGTCTTTGTTTTCTCAGCATTGGCATTGACAGGCTTACACAAAGGCCAATACAAATTTGATACATAGGAAATCAAGTCTATTGGGGCCAGCAGTCAGCCTGTAGGGTATGAATCACCTTGGGATGCTTATTATGATTGGTGGACCTTTTTGGTAACATCTAAGGTTGCTTTCCTGTTTGTCAGGGAGGTTTTTTTTTTTTTTACAACTTGTGCTCCTTTCAGAAAGGGTGAGACATCTACAGACATTGATTGGTAGAAACTTTCTCCAAATTGAGCTACTGAGAGCTCCCAGCTTTCAACAGCTTGTGCACTTGTGTGTACTTCTTCATTGGTATTGAGAACATCGTCTTCGAGTGTTGAGGGTGACCTTGGACGATTTAAAATCAGACGTCAGTTCAATTAATTGAAAATGATTTTATTTTCATTTTATCATGAACTGACATAAGCAATTGATTAGCCACTTGGATCTTGTAAACTCATAAAAAACTGTTAAGCAACTCAGGGCTCTTCAGAAAGCTCGGAGAGCCTCTCCGTTCTGCACTGATGAAAAGCTCGCCGAGTTTTAAGGATTGTTTGATGTTCTAGAGATGACATTGTGAATCCATTACATAATGTGTTTAAAATTCCACGCGATATTCAAAGAAACTGAGGGAGAACTACAAACGACAAGATCTGAAAGGATAATTGATTTGAACTTTTTTTAAATCTAAATTGCTGACAGGTAGAGAATGTTGAAGCAAAGACACATTATCCCCTGGCCTTCACAATTTGATTAAGACAGTGAACACACATTGGTAGCATGATCTAAGGGAACTTGGCCTGGTTCTGCACGCTGCTCTTCCTATATCTTTTTTTCTATTCCGGCAGAATAGTTTATTACTTGCCGCATTATGATTCTGTCCATTGGTACAGCTTTACATGGGGTCTCGACCTCTTTCAACCAGGCTTTTTTCTCCCTACAGGTGGCTGGTGGAGGAGAAGGTTCTCAGGGGCAGATAGAGATATTTTCCCTCAACAGGCCCATGCCAAGGGCTGTAAAGAGCCTGCAGGTAGGCTCTGCTGTCCGATGTCTGGAATATGTACCAGAACCGTCTCAGGCTGAGGAAGTGGAAGCTGGAGTTCACAAGGCACCCTCAGGGATCAGCTCCAACATTTGTGTTGGATTAGACGATGGACGGTGAGAGACTGATATCACAGAAAGCAATAGGTGTCTGAGGAGAAAAAGCTTCCGTGTTGATATAAAATGAGCCAGAGCAAATTGTCAAATTAGATTCATCGGAAATAAGTTTTATCTTCAAGAAGAAGCACAAATATCAACATAAGAAAACAAATGCTTTTCAATATGCTCCACATCTTCTGTTGTAAAATAATATCCTGTGTTATCCTTTGTTACGGGCTCTTGAGATTTTTAGCAGTATAGATTTGCTTGTCGATATTTCATCAAAACAAGAAATCAGAGCTGATACCTATCACCTCAGTCTACTGCCATAGTTACAGTGAATAAGTTGGTTTTTAATTTTTTTTTCAAACAGAATATTCTTGAATTTCAGATTTACCTGTTATGTTACTACATATCATTTACAGTAGTGTTTAGTCATTTGTATGAGAATAAGAAATCATATGTCAGCAGTTTGTTTTTGCTGACTCATTCTCTTCTAATAAAAGTGTCTGTCCAGGGAAGAAAAAAGACATACAGTTTAAAAAAAAAAAAAAATCAATTTCTGCATTTCAGCACACTCAAATAACTGTCATCTCCAATGCTACTTCTTCTACTTCTTCTTCTTCTCTGACAAAGAGAAACAAAAAGCAATGTGCATTTGTCATTCTGAAGAAGACAACAAGATGTAGCAAAGTTAAGATGGGATTTCAAACATGAGAAAGACAGAGTGGTTGCACTTACACAATGCTTTGCTCCAGAGTCAACCGTTAAATCAAACTGCATGAAAACGAGGCACTCCGTCATTTCAAATGACACCCATTTATCATGTTTGCCTGTGCTGCTTTTGTTCTTCCAGCATCCTGGTCTATGGCAGTGTGGACACTGCAGCACAGTGCCTATTGACCCTCCGTAACCCAGAGGGCTGCCCTGTGCTGTGCCTGAAGCACTCCTCTCGCTTCCTGTTTGCTGGCCTGCGGAATGGGACCATGATGGTTTATGGAAGAAATAACAGCGGTAAGGCGCTGGTTGTTTTGTTTTCAGAATGATGGCTGTTGTTTACTGTGTGTCAGGGGTGGCTGTTGCTACTCTCTGTGCATGGTCTGTTGGGGAAGTGGGAATGTGTAGTCTATAGATGATACCTCTTTTCTCTTAAGGTGTGACAGTGAAATGGACTGAGTATACATATATATATATATATATATATGTTTTTTAATTTTCTAATGCAGCATGTTAATCAACAAAAATATTTTTTCATACAGTAAAATTATTGGTACAAATGAGATTCTGTTTTCATGCATTACGTATTTATGAAACAGCTCTGTGGTAAACATCTATTGTGTTCAAACATAAATTGTTTTATTAATTTGGCCTATAAATATTAGTGTTGTGTCATGCACATAGACTGTATGATACATTTTTCAGAAAACCCATTTCCAGAATGAAAATGATTTTAATTTAGAATTGCCTTTGAAATGATTACTCTAGAATCACTTTTTCCTTTACGCTATACTTCCCATTCCTAGTGAATTTCATACCCAGTGTAAGTATGAAAATAACACCTCACCATGTGGTAGATGGCATGCCATGTTTAGTCAGGCATTGCACAAGGCCAGGGGGGCTTAACACCATCTCAGCAGTGGGTTGCAGTCTTCACAGCCAGCGGGAGCACAATAGCTCTATCACTGGGTTCCTCTTACCTGGCCACAGTATGTCAGCGCGCCTGCCTTCCTCCTGTGCTCCTCTCTCCTCCCAAGCAGAAAGGATGATTAATTACACCAAGCTGCTGCATGCCGATTAAATATTACTATTCATGCTTTGTATATCAAAAAAAAAAGGGACGGGAGAAAAGCTCTGGAGGGTGCTGGGGAATGTTTGTGGATTCGGCACATCTGTTAAAGATTTATGCCCTTGACTAGTGTGCTACTGTCTCAAAACAAGTCTGCAGCAGCCAGGAAATGCCAAGGTTTCAGTCAAGACTTGTATCAAAAGGCTTATGAATACACACAACATATTGTTGTTTTGTGAATAATGTGCTCCAGCTTTTCTCTCCGAGATATGCACATCAGACATCATGTCAGCTTAAAATGAAAATATTTTACAAGGCAAAGAAAGTTTGATTTAGTGCAACAAGACTGGTCCCCCACTATGTTAAAGAGTGAGAATCATGGGCTTGGTCTTGCTTTGCGCAAGGGGCCATAGGGACATTTACAAGAGTGAATTTTGAAAAGGTGGAAAAATGACCTTTATAACATGCCAAGCAATTAACCTGTGGAAGTCATAAGGCATTGTAAAGCTATTCTGCTATGAAAGGCAGAAATAAACAACTCAAAATGTTAATTAAATGGCTGGATGCACTCCCTTCTCTAATTTTGCTTCATTAACGCATGGCAAAGGAAATGCTTATGTAATTCACTTTATAATGTGCTTCTGTGGTAGCTGCAACGTGTGCACTGTGATTAAAACTCAAAGGAAAAAGGTCTGCTTCATTTTCACACTGATGAAGCAAAAAGAGTGAGCGACACAGCGAGAGAGAGAGAGAGAGAGAGAAAAGAACTGGCAATAAAGAAGTTGGAAAGTGGATTAAAGTGTACCAGACTTATTAGCATGTGGGTAGCAAGGGTGCAAACATTGTGCTGCACAGTGTGTGGTGATTCAAATGGAGGTCCACAGATGTACTTAGTCAACTTTAGTTCATATTCCCTCAAATGGCTGTTTTTTCATTAAATCCTCGACTGTGAGCTCTCTCCACTGACGCTTTAGTAATTGCTCAACATTAAATAGCTTTAAGAGTATTTTTTAAAATAAACACCAAGGTAACTCGCTGTGATACAAGAGCCAAGATTTTAATTTAATTGCCTCACTCAATATGAAATGTTGAAATAGAAGTGGGGCCTTCAGAGTTGAAGCTAGATGTGATAATAGCCAGAGATTTTAAGGGTTTCTATAAACCCCTAGCTATTGGTTTTTTGTTCACTCTGTTTTGTTTTCCCTCAGATGATCTTTGGGAACCTGACTCCTGCAGATGTGTAAACCTCGGCTCAGAACCAGTGCGGACTCTGTTGGTGTTAGATGACTCAGTGTGGGCAAGCTGGGGGAACTCTGTCACAGTTATAGACATCTCCAGCCTCGCAACTCAGGTAAATAACTATATCATTGCTGGGCACATAATGTTGCAGTTTACCATGTTGAAAAAGAAAAAAAAAGGAAAATACAGACGCAGTGAACAAAACTTAAAGCATTTTCACACTTGGCACTTTTTTTAGAATCGCTGTCCTGAAGCCTGATAGGGACTGAATGTCTTATTTGAATATGATGTATATGTAAATATTTTTGGCTCATCTAGGCATCATAATAAGCATTTTAATTTCTTTTTTCTCTGATTTTATTTAGTTTTTTTGCATTGTTTATTCCTTTTGTCTGAATACAGAATATTAAGATGATTTGACCCACACGTTTTCCATTCATTTACCATTCAGTGACTGGAGCTGAATGGAAGTAATTCGTAGTTATACAGGAAATGTAGTGCTTGTATATTTATTTTACTTGTATTTATTGTTTTGTTTTTTTTTTCTTTTACACTAACTTAGTAGTTTTGCTTTAAATATCAAGATTATAATATTTAGCATTTCAGAAGCTCATATTTGAAAGATTTGCCTAACCAGTTAAAGAATGAGCTCCAACAAATTTTGTCATGTTTCTTCCATCTCTACTAGCGAGGTCAGTTCCTCCGACCATCCCAGCTGATAAATATTCTCAGTCTTCACTAAAAACATGATGTGAAGACCTAAATGGATGGGTTCATAAGTGAAACTGCTAGACAAGGTGTTTCTTTTTTGTTGTTGTTGTTTGTTTTGGTTTGTTTTGGGTTGTTTTTTTTTGTTGTTTTTTTTTTTGCAGCTTTGAGGAATATTTCCTCTCCTTTCATTTTCTGAAGAGATTGATGCACACAGCCTCAGAGACGCTGCATCCTAATCTGTGATGTCATTGAGATTTACTGCTTGAAGCTGCTGCGTGGACGAGTCAAACCCTTTGTAGATTCATACAATGTTTGTTGGGGCGTTCACACACAAACATGCTTCATGTTGCTGTAGCGCTCTGAGATGTGAGTTCTGGTACAGGAATCTGCATTGTTATCTCCAGAAAATCATCCTGGGGGTTTTCTCTGTCATGCTTTCGGTTTTTGTGTAGTCTTTCTCCAAGGTGTTCATCTGTACTGTGTGTCATTAGAGGTGTACAGGGGGAGACTTCTCTTGCTGTGGCAGAAAACAATGACTGGCAGAAAACAAACTCTTCAGGGTTATGTTAATATGGTATTCAGATGCTGAACTGCAAACCATTACTATTTAATTATAGCTCCCAGATGTGCATGTGAGTAGCTGTACAAATGGGTAGAAGGGCTTTTGTTGAAAAAGACCATGTGAGCTGAGCCAACCCTCCCTGGAAAAATAAAAATTGGTGACATATAAAAATATGATGCTGAATTTGAACAACCAAACAAACTGAAGCACTCACAATAAAGAAAATCCATTGTCTCATCATCCTCATCATATAAATTTGTACATTTCTAGAAAAGACTGAAATAGTAAAGTAACTGAAAATGTATAACCTTATTTAACTTATTCCATCTGGAATTACAGATGTTTTGTTTGACCTCATGGCAAATATAAAAGATGCAGATATACAAGATGCAGTAATGTATAAGAGCTAAAAAAAAATCCTTAATTTTTGTAAAACACAAAGTTAATATGTGTTTACATTTTTTTTTCTCTTAAAATTTACAACAAATCAGAAGAAGCAGCTGGCAAATTTGGACCATCAGTACAGAGACAGCTGCTTATTGAATGTGCCTCAAGGTCCACATAATCAGGAGTGAGCCAAGCCAGGGATGTCTCCTTTTATTCCTTCACCTCTTTTCCCTATCCCAGTCCTCCAGAGACATGAGCTTAATCAGCTGAATGGCCATGCAATGGAGGCACAGTTCTGGTTCACTGTATCTCCCACAGAGCTTAACGGGTCAGCTCTGGTTACTTCTTTGCTAACCTTGTCTTCCTCACTAATGTGGACTCAAGAGGGCTGACTTCACAGGGGTGATGGTGCATATCCAGGATCTGGAGAAGCAGTACTTGGCACCTGCTGCAAGACATTTGACATGGAGCAAGGCTAGAGGGTCATGGACTCGTATTCACTTCACTTTTCCATTGTTTTCCCCTACAGACGTTCACCACTTTGTTAGATTTACTGCACTTTTGAATCATTTGTCTATGACTCTGGTGGACACTGCAGCCCGCCTTGTCTGACAACGCTGATCCCCGCACCCTGCTGCTTGGCATGAGCCTCTTTTTAAATCTTTTTAAATCTTCATGTCGGTGCCTTAACAATACATTATTATTCAAATATGACCTTTTCACTATGTTTCAGGTAAAATGGCTGTATACTTATGAAGGTGTTGAAACCCAAGGGAACATCACCACTCAAAAAGTTGTGTGTATTATGTAGCTACATTCCACCCCAGTGGGGATAGATATATATATAAATTATAGAACTGACAAAACCTCAGCAGTACAGTGGCTGTGAGGCAAGAGAGACCAATATGGCTGAAGGAATGTGAGTATTTATAAGCTGTTTCATCTCCCTTAAAATGCAAATATCTTGTAACAAGGTCACAAAGCCTCAAATACCTACCAAAGTTTTAACTATTAGATATTACCCCAGAGGTCTAAACAAAGGAAATGATTTGGAAGAATTCACCGTCATGCTAGCAGTTCTATGAGGCTGTACTGCAGCACAGTGCTGTTTTTAGCAGGTGCTAATGCCAGTTTTCTAACATGCTCACAATGGCAATGATAACATGATGATGATTAGCTGGTATAATGTTTATCATGTTCACCATTTAAGTTTAGTGTTTTTAGATATGATTGCATTTGTTAATTTAAACTAAACACAAACTACAGCTGAGCATCATGGGAATGTAATTAGTTTTTAGTTATAAACCAAAGTATTGGACACATTGAGATTTTGACCTGATGATGACACTAGATGAAAAGTTATGATTACCAAAGTTATCACAATAAATCCCCGGTATCTGTACTAAATTTCATGGTAAATCATCCATCCAATAGTTTTTAAGATTTTCACTCTGAAACCAAAAATGCAAACATGCTAGTGGCACTACAAGTCAGGGGTTCACCAACATCATTAGGATAAATCACCTTGGAACTGTCAATGTCTGTACCAAATCTTGTGACAATCCATCATGAAATGTTGAGATATTTCATTAGATTGATTTGTTAGTTGCAATAAATGGAAAAGTCAGGGCATCACACCAATATTCATTAAGATATTTTACTCAGTAAAAAAGTGGTGGACCAATGAAAATTACCATCCCTAGAGCCTGGCTGCTAGTGTGGCTAACAAGGTCATATGGGCGGGGGCGGGGGGCGGGGGTTCCTGAAGTCCCGAAGTCCCATCAGTGCTGAGATCAGCTTCATTTCCTGCTGATGGTACCAATGAAATGGCCCATGGATGTATCAAGAGAACTGGATATGGCGTGGCAAGTTAGTCAGTCCCAGTGTCCAACTGAGGTACTACAAGAAAAAAACATCCCCAGCAACGAAAAAAGCAGTCTGCAGCTCTTACTCCTTCTCTCCCCCATTGTTTCTTTTCACTTGTATTAATTGCAGGCATGGTGTTAAGCTGCCTCCACCACCAGAGGACCCTGTTCATAGTGACACTGTGGTCAGCAGTGTCTTTGCCACAGGCACCATTTAAACATGACAAGTTAAAATCAGTTGATACATTTATAATAAAAAAAAATGCAAACATCAGTAAAATTGCAGAATGATAAACCCTACTTAAATTTCCCACCAGGGTAACCAGAGGAGCTTGTTCTCAGCAGGAATCATGGCACACAATAGGAAGGGGAAACAACTTAACTGGGGAGAAAATGAGGCAAACGCAACTAATCAAATGATTTTTTTATTTTGTAGATATTCACACAGTAGGGGCTGCTTTGTATGTGACGATAATGCAGTGCTTTATTAGTTGGTTTGATTTTTACACAATACCATTTTGTTCAAACCTGCCAATGTATGTGGAATGATTTCAGACCCGTCTCAGCTTTAGTTTGTGAGTTTCTAAGGACACATCTTCATATTATTACAGACCTCCACAAACTTCAGCACTCTGTAGAGGTCTGAGCACCTGTAACGTAACCAAACCTTAACAAAGTAGGACATGCATGAACATACAAGCTTTGATCAATACAAACTGGCAGGCCTTGTTTCTTCCTCTTCCCATTACTGTTTCTTTTTCTGCCTGCTGTCTCCCATCACTTGCGTCTACAACTCCCCGCCATAGCTCAGAGTAGAGGCGTGGACTTAGCACTCACCAAAGGACAAAGACACCTTGTCACCTGATGTAATGAAGGACTAATGAGCTGTTCAGATCGGCTGTAGTGTCTGCAGCTTTAGCGCTGCTGTTTTCTCACAGCTGGTAGAGGACTATAGGAGGGATGTTGTTATTGTGACACTGCCGAGTTGAGTGGAAAGGGCACATTACTTCTGTCAAGCTTCACTGACCACCTCATCTCTGTAAGCAATGCTGGATTCAGCAGACTAATACCAGGTTGTTGGCTGAGGGCAACAGTTGTGGCTTGTGCTTATCCTGTATTTGACACAGCGTGGCAGGCATTCAACATGTTTGGTCTATATCCGTGATAATATTTGGAGAATTCTATTTTGCAATACTAGCTTAAGTGTGAATTGATATTTATGTAAAAACATTGTTTTCTTACAAATGTTAAATCAGTAATTTAAACACATATTCAGGCGCTTTTTGAGATTTCTGTGTATCCTAGTCAAATGAGACTCTTGCATACATTTAGTTACCCAGAATGCCTTCCAGGTGGTTTCAAACATATGGCAAGCAAGATGCCATTCAACAATTACTGTATGACGGCCATTGATTAGCTGGAAGTCCTTTTAAAGCCACCATGTTTGATAATGATTAATGAGATAATTATGCGGCATATACAGTAAAGTAGGACTGAGTTTTTCATTACAACTTGTCAACTTATTTGAATTGTAATGGGTTATTGAAGGTGAAATTTGCCTTTTTATTATGGATATCTAATTTTTTGATGGCTGCACTTGAAAAACGAAGAGCTGTATTGCATATCCTTTCCCAGGCGGAGCAGGCACCCACTGCTGAGGAGTCAATTAAAAGAGAAAACACATCAAAGGCTTCTCTCCTTTTCCCTAATTTCAAACAAAGGAGGACCCACTGGCAAGGGCACACAAACAGGTGGTAATCCCTGTCCGCCGGTGCACTTGGGTTGGGGTGGGGGGTGTATTCTCATCTTCACTCACTCGCTCTCACTGACTAATTGCCCAGCCTCATGCAACTCATGCATTGACAGTGATATGAGTTCTAAGATGATGCCCAAACCAGCCCCTGTCACGCCTTGGACCGCAGGGGCTGCATGTGTTGCTATGATAAGGCTCATTGCATTTATTTCAAGCTACTCATTAAGACTGTGTGCCTGAAACTCTCTTTTTCCATTGTGCTCTTAAAAAGATAGAAGCCAGGGGAATGATGCAAAAACATGCCCCGTGTGTCAGGGACTCTGTAAATTACAAAATTAGGAGGCACAGTAAGAATTTATTTACAGAAAAGCAAGTGAAGAGCAACAACTAAACATAAGATTCAGTGGGGCGTCTTCTGACCTCATCATGTCATGATATAATTACATTTAATTACAGTTGTCTTGTAATGTTTTGAAAAGATGAACGCTACAGTAAATCAACTTTGAAATGACTATCACAATAATCAATAATTGGCAAACCAATTAAAAAGACTGCTACCAAAGTGTGTCCTAAGATGAAACACAATGCAGTCAACGTAGTCGTGCCTTTCCATTGTTGCTGTGATTCGTATGTTTTTGATACATATCAAATCCATAACTTTCTTTCCCCTCTGCCATCCTTACTTCTTTTTCCTTTTTCAAATGTCTTCCATTCTTATTCATTTTGTTTGTGAATTATACAGTCAGGAAAAATAACCACATGCTTGTTTAATGAATGAAGGAGAAGTGCAAAATAGCTGTGGTGTTGCTAAACTCCTTACAGAATGGTGGGCTAAACTGAAAAAGACCAAAACAGTTTTCAGTACATTTTTTTTTTTTTTTTTTTCCCCAGAACTTGAAGTCCACAGATTATTTAGAGAAAATGCCCCCAAAATGTCAGTTTTGTTCAAAACACCAGAATAAAATTCCAGAGAGAGCTAACCTTTCCATTGTAGAAATGTTTTGTTTTCTTGTTATGGCACCAATGTCATTTGTTGATGATGTGGGTGATTGCATTTTCTTCCTGTGTTGTTGTTGTTATTTATAACAGTGCTATTGTTTCCATTACAGAAGTTTGAAGTCCATCCAGAACCGATGATCAGCGTCACACACATGGCGTGTGCTGGCGGAGGGGTGTGGATGGCTTTCTCCGAGGGTTCCTCCATTCGTCTCTTTCATACTGAAACACTGGAGCTCCTGCAGGAAATCAACATCTCAACACGGTCAACGCTGCTGAACACTGGTACACACACATCACACATCACGCTCGGTCTTGACCTCAGCACATAGAGGTCAGCCTCTATCCTGCAGTGCAGCTGAAACACATTTTCTTTTGTGTGTAAAAACCCATAAAATTGATTTTCTTTCTGACACTTTATTGTTTCAAAATGTCTGCCCACAAATTCCATTTTGTTTGTACTGGATACATTTTTGTCTTAATTATAAAAGAGCAACAAGAGGGCACTGATTTAACACAGATGACGCTCTCCTCCCCTAGAATGATATTCTTGTCTTGTCCGAGTTGCTCCTTGGGTCCTGCACTCCGGGGACTGACCTGAATAAGTATCCATCTCAGGCCTTCACAAAGCTATAATAGAGCCATGGGGTGAGAGATAGGGATTAATAAAAAAGAAATAAAGTCATTGAGGAGCAGTTAACTGGCAGCCTTAAAGATTTTCATAGGAAGGGTTCCCATGGAAACACTCTTGTCTCTCTTTAAATGTACATGCTTCTGTGATATCATGCCCAGTTTACCTCTTTTTTCTCTGCATGTACCTCCCCACTTTTCTCCCTTTTGAGTTAATATTTAGCTTTCTTTTTGTCCCACTTTCTCCCTCTCACTCCCGTTTCATCTCATCCGCTCTGCTTTAAAATCCACTCACCCCCGTTTCACTTCTCACTGCAGTCCATTTAGTATACCGCAGATAGCGCATTACTTCCTGTGTGACTTCCTTCATGATGGATGAAATATTTATCAACCAGTGTGGGTGTTTTCCCTTTTTTCGAAGGAAGAACTATGGTAAACAAATTAGATAGCAATGAAGCTTACCTAAAACTGTCAAATAGTGATAACAGTCCAGTACATGTGACTCAATATCATTTTGCCTCCAAAATGCTCAGGCTGTGGCACGTGGGCCATCAGCTCGTTCAATACATGTGAAGATCATTTTGAGCTTCAGGGAGTGGTATAAATGCATCTGGATTTAAAAAATTTTGTCCTTTTCATTGAGTCACACCAGACTGTGATTGATGTATTTAGAGCAATACTCAAAGCTGTGGTAGGACTCCATCTCATCAGGAAAAAAAATGTTTCTCTTGTGAGTTGAGTAAAGAATAAAAACAGACATGTGTTTCAGACGTCAAACTTTTCTCTCTTAGATCAAAGTAAAGAGGAGACTTTAAGGAGAACAGACTCCTGTGGCCGTCATATCTGGAGGAAACGAGTGACCTAGAGGTCATTTTCACACAGCACCAGTGTCTCCCCTTGAAATATGCAGCAGATTTTAGGGAGGGTGCCAGCCTCCAAGCTCGGCCCTGGGGGAAGTTACAAGGTCAAAAGAAAAAGAGTTGCTCGCCTCATGTCTTCAGGGTCCACAAAGGGAAGAGGATCTTTGACTTAAGTTGTGATTTGTTGAGCTCACAAGAGAAAAGAGCATCCCCTGATGCTCTACAACCACAGATACTGCACATGAAATACTGATAGTTTCTCTCTGTCAATAGGTCTCTGCTCCCTTAGGTTTCTCCTTGACTTATGCTAGGACATGCAGTAATGATATACCCCCTAATCCTCTCCCCTTAATGTGATTTATACTCAATGGGGAATTCCAGTTGCAGTAAACAACAGAGAAGTTTCTGAGGCAGAGGAAACTGCTGATCTCTTCTCTACTAATGCCTTTAATAGTTCTATCCTTAGGGTGAAAAAATAATATTCCAAAATAAAGTCCTTAGTGACATATCTCAGAGATACATTTATCTTTGGAGACATCTTCTTTTTAAGGCAAATACCGGCTCCCACGATAAACCCACTACACACTGCGGAACGTGTGCATTACTGCAAAAATTGGAGGTGCAAGATTGCTTGAGGTTAAGCTATACCTCCTTAATCTCAAGTGCCTTTGTCATTATCCCTTTTTATCACTGTTCTTAAAGACAATGCCTGGTGCCCACTTCTTCCGACTTAACTTCAGATTTCATGGCAACCCAAAAGTGGGTGTTCATGAGCACCGCTCTCTCACTTAAGCTCTCGAACCAAAGTACAAATAGACTCTGAGGCGATGTAAGCAGGTGGCTGACAGTTTCAAGATAAAAGCTGTTTTTGCTGGTGCCTAACTCACTGCTGTGACCCACCAAGGTCTCCACCTAAAGGCTTCTGCTCTCTGTTTGCTGAATGTGCTCCTCTGCTCTGCTTCCACTTCCTCTTGTACACACAGCATCAGCTTCCTACTTGGCATGATTCATCACTACACAGCGGAATGAATTAATTAATGACACTGTTGAACCACTCATGCAAATCATCATAATCTGAGCATGACACAGAACAAACATGTAAATACAGTTACACATGTAAATGAGCATTCTCCTAGTTGTGATCACGAGTGTTGGTGTAATTCAATTATGGTTGCCATGGAATATTATGGTAAATGGTTCTATAGATAACTAGGCCACAATGGGAGCCAAGAGCTGAGGGACCACAGAAGGAATGCAGAAATAAATTCAAAACAAACAATGTTTTTCACCCCTTTGTTAACCGGAAACAAAAAGATGTGCATGTACAGTATAATAGGCTCGTGCAATTATCCTTTCCCCGTCACTAATGCAATGCTACAAAAACAGGTCAGCAATGGAGAACTCAACAGCAGAAAAGATATGTTGACTCTTTCATCACAGGATGTAAAAAGGTAACTTTATCCAAAGAGAATCACTGCTTAATCTCACCCCAAGGATCATCAACACATTCCGTAAGGGAAAAAAAAAATCACCCTGAATTACTTCATTTGTCACACTAATAGAGAATCTCAATAAGCACTAATGCCGAGTATTTACAGACGAGAATAAACAAACCGAGCTAAACCAAGCAAATGATGCAGTATGTATTATCAATGTTAATTCATATCAGCAGGTCAACCCCACAATACAGTGAATATAAAATATGTTTAATGTGCACTGAAATTATATTATTTATGTCAAATTATTTGTATTAAAGTCTGAATACTATGAAAATTATTTTCTCTGTTTAGTCTTAAAAGACAGAACCTTGTATTGCAAAGTGGAAAATTTGTTCTTAGCATTTTTTGGTTTTGTGTTTCTTCTATTTAAAGTGTAAACTATCACAATAATGTTAACAAAATACTGTTTTTGCTGACCTCAGTGGTTTAACTTCTCACCTTGCTGCAGTGATGAACAGGTGCACTCCAGCACTCTGTGACATCACTGCTGGGTGTGGTTACTCATGCAACAAAGCACATTTCTAACACACCCAGAGGTGAAACAGTATTGAAACTGTCCACTGGAGCAGCAAAACACTGCTTTCCAATGTGGTGTTGAGTTCCTCTTAAAAGACTGTGTACACACTCAATAGTTTTCTTCTGAATTATTCTGAATGATATGACCTATTTTCAGTTTGAAACTGAATTTGTTTGGTGGTTGGTTAGGACACTAAACTCGACCACTTAAAAGAATTAAAGCAAAAGAAAATGTTTTATGTTCTTCAGCCATAGCAGTTGCAAGAAAAATGACAACAAGGTCAGGAAGATGTCAAAGAGGTCTGATCCAATGACCCAAAATGATTGAAAGCACCTGTGTGGGTGTATATACCATGAGTGTATAGAGCCTCACTTATTTGGGAAGATTATGGGTGTTTGTCATTTTGCCAATAAAAGAGAACTTCCCTGCTTATCAGTTTTGCCGTGTACAGTAGGAGGTGAAAACTTGGAAGCTCAATATTTAAAAACCAGTCAGATCTGAAACAGAAATGTATAATACCAAGTTGAGTGTTGTGTTGTTTCCTACTGTGTGCTTTCATTACTTTTTCTTTCAACTGGGTCAGTAGCAAGTAGACAAATCCAGTTTTTCATAATCTTATGTAACCCAGAGCCGTGCTGTGTTAAGCTTGTGAAACACAGATTGATCACTGATGAACAATCAAAGTATGACGAACGTTCATCATGCTAGGACTCAACAGTATATTTCCAAAAAACAGCATTTTTGAAGAGCCTCAGGCAATAACAAAATCAATGGAAGTTCATGATTCACTCTCTGACAGATAAACCTTTTACAGGCCTTCCAGTCTGTAGAAGTTGTTTTGTCAACAGGGATTTAATCTATTATTCTTTCAAAAGGCGCCATAATCTGTCGTGGTTTTGAGCTACCTGTCGTTCTGTAACAATAGGTGGCGAAGAAACCTCACTTCAATTTCTGTCATTTTCAATATTGCAGGTCAGAAGAGTATGCGAGTCACGAGTCTCCTAATTTGCCAGGGGCTGTTGTGGGTGGGCACTGCCCAAGGCTTAATTATCACTCTTCCCGTTCCCAAACTGGAGGGCATCCCCAAAATAACAGGTATGGATCAGAGGGGGCGGATGACTGTGATTGAACAGCCTCTTGACAGGTCAAAAGAAAAGCGAAGAGGTTTTTTTCATGACAGAAAATTACTCTGCACTGCCCATTATTGAGGTCACACTTCACATTTTTCTTGTGGCTCTGGGAATCAGTGCAAATATTACCAGGCAGGCAACGCACAAATCATATTGTGTATATATAGTCTTGCAGGGTAATTTAAAAACTGCCTGGCAGCGTTTTGTTTATTATACCAAGCGAATGAGGTCATTAGTTTCCCTTCGCACGAACCTTACTTCATGACCACCAAGTTTATTGAATAATATGTAAATACACCACAAACTATAGCTACAGTCATTACTGTTTCAGCAGTAAATTATAAGAAATAATTTACAGAAAACTTGATGACGTACTTTATGATCCAAGGCTGGGTCCCAGCTATTTGTACTTCAAACAATTCAAACTACAACTTGCACTATAATCTCTTAACTCTCCATAGAGGAACAGTATCTGTTGTCTCTGTGGGTGACATTGGAATATTCTGTCTGCCTGCCTGCTACAGGGAAGGGTATGGTCTCTCTAAACTCCCACTGTGGGCCTGTGGACTTCCTGGTAGCCACCACCAGCACCCTGTCTCCAGAGCTGCTGAAGAGGGATTCTGTCGGGGATAGCCCAGACTCTGCCTGTGGAGGTGAGGACCGCAGCGACACCTCCTCTCAGGAATCCCTGCAACAGTCCAGCTCCTATCAGGGAGAGGGGAGAGGCAAAGGACGCGGCGTTCTACTGCAGTACAAGCTGCGCTCCACATCAGGATTACCCGGACGACCATTAACAGCGCAGGGCGACGAGGCGTTGGACTCCTCCCTGGAGTCTTTGGAGCACAGTGTGGAAGATGGATCTATCTATGAGCTCAGTGATGACCCAGAAATGTGGGTTAGAGGGCGTCCTTGTGAGAGGGACGGGGGACGCAGGGACAGGGTGATCTCTGCAGCCGTTATCTCTGGAGGCAAGGGCTTCCGCAGACTGAAGGAAGGAGCTCCAGCAGGTACTAGGACAAGTGTGGAGGGTTTAGAGAATATTCTTATGGTGTGGCAGCTTCCACTGACAGTGTGATATGGAAAATATATGGCAACGTGATGTGTATTTATAGATGTCTACTTAAAGCTTCAAGCTCAGCCTTGAATAACCTGTTCCATAAATTCAAGAGATTTGAATATATGATGAGAAGGTGTTGCCACTGTTACAGAGATTGACATCTTATGATTTAGCCTGTGGAATAAGAAAACTAAGACATTCTGTTTACTACAAGCACTGTTCACCCATAGGACGCTTTGAATGTTCAGGATTGTGCGTCAACATCTTCCCAGCAGTGGCAGAGGTTGCCACAGATTAGTTCCATGTGATTGTTTTGATCTGGTTCCTCTTCCTGCCTTAGTTAGGATTGATATGCTGCAATTTAACCTCATCATTGCTGCCTGTGCTCTGCCACATTTATTTTATGTGAGGGACTTCTGTGTGAGCACCCATGGACAGCACATCTTTGAGAGGCAGCCTTTGTTGAATCTGCTATGCTCTGCAGAGTTAGAGATGGACGTCTTTTATCTGATCCTGTGGGAGAGATCCCATCTGTTTCGAGCTGAATGCTGGGGACTACCACTGCATCACAAAGTACATTAGCATCACTTTATTAGCTCTGCCAGCCTTTCTCTCATCCCATACAATGTGAATGTAAGATACCTTCTATTGTGTCTCAAAATTGAATCTGTGCTCTCTTAAAAGAAAGAAAGAATTTCATTTTTCCTGTTTTTGTTGCAGCTGTTCGCAAATTTTTGGATCGGAAAAAATTAGATGCTTCCATGAGCTGGCTGCAAAACCATTGTAAAAACAAACTGATTTGGAGAACAAAAGTTATGAAAGAAAGATGTTATTTCTCAACATTACAGAATCTATATTTGCACTGAAAAAATTCTGTTATTATTACAGGAGGAAATGAAGCTCTACGGTGCCACATTTTGGAGTATCATCTTGCCTGAGTACTGTAAATGGCAGATATCTGTTTCATTATTTACTGTCATCTATCAGCTAGATAAAACAAATGCGCACACAGTCTTGTTAATACACAGATCACATTAGCTGGAAACCCCAGTTACACATCAAAAGCAAAACTCTATTAATGAATGATGAAATAAAAATGCTGCAGTCATCTAAACTGCTATTGGCTATGTATCAACTAAGGGAACCTGTAAGAGAAACACCAGTGAGCATGTTTAATGCACATTAATTTTACAAGATGATTCTGATTGAAGGCGGTGTTTTACAATACGTAGCATTAAGTCCGTGCTGCCATTAACATTGATGTATATTATCTGTGATATTAACCAGGACTCGTCCCATCAACACTTGTTTTCTTTGCTAATATAAATAATGTAAATATCTGGAATTTAACGCAAACATTAATATTTTATGATCAGGAAATGAGGATGCACATAAACAGCTCGTCATTCCTGTCTAGTGGAAACCTCACATCTCCATTTTCGGTGGTTATCATCATCTTCAGATCAGTTGAAAAGATTACACGGTCTGTCTTTAACCTGATATGCTTATAAAACCCTTTTAAAACTACATTAATGAAAAAAAAAATGCATCGTTGTTAGGCTATGTACAGGTTGTTCTCTTTTTTTTTTTTTAACTTGTAAAATGATTTTGTAAATATACTGTTTATCCTGGAGTATATTGAATCTGAGCTGGTATGAGAAGCACTCAGTGGTACTAAGTAATGTTGTGAAGTGATTGCTTCATGGCTTCTTAATTCAAAGTTATAGCAGCGTTGGTAGGATTGCAAACATGGACTATTGACATTGGCATTTGTCTTGCAGGGAAAACCAAGACGTTCATACTTCACAGGCCACATCTTTCACAGTGTGTTGACACAGTAGGTGGAGGCCGCACAAGTATCCAACTATGAACATGGCTTTGTGGATTGCCAGTAGACCGAGCGATGGTGAAGGTTACGGTATATCATTTTCCCCAACCTGTCTCTACCTAGCACTCCCTCCACACGTCTTATCCCTCCATCACAGATGAAGCATAAAATTCATGTTTTGTATTTCCCTGAGGTTTATTTTCCCTTTTCTTCTTCTCCTCATAACTGAAATTCAAAAGCATTTAAACATCCTGCTGTCAGCCGGAATCATTAAATTAAATAAATAAGACGATGTAAACTGTCCTCAGATGCTGTCATCTAAATGTAAATCTCAATGTCACGTCAGAAATGTATACCTTAATTCGTGTGAGATTCAATGCCACTGAAACCACAACCCCCTCTTGGTCACTATAGAGGTTGTTTGTTCAACCTTAGCCAGAGGATGAGGGTGTACTCCTGCCTGAGCAGTCTGATGAAATATACATGATTTCTTTACAGAAGCTGCCGCGGACTCGGCATTGTTGAACTGTTTCACTTGCTTATCTGCTAACAACTGAGATTTAATCTCAAAAGTATGTTGACCTTTGATGGACACTGACTCATTCATTTCATTTGCTTCTATATGTGCAGGTATTATCCATACACTGAATATTAATAATCATGAATGAAAATACTGTACTACTAATTAAAACTATTACTGTGTTAATTAAACCGTAAAGAGGACTCTGCAATAGTGTTGATATTTTAAGATGAGACTGTATAAGACAGTTTATTTTCCGGCAGTATTAAAGGTTATTGCGATTTATCAAAAATGGGATCCTATTTTTGTAGATTTGGTTATCGTTTCTATCAGTTATGACAACATGTACTCCACAAGGTAATTGCTGAGAACTGGGACATCAATAAAAAAGAAGTCTGGTGACGTAAGAAACACTAACAGTCAGATCATTCTACGGGTTAGTCAGAATTATTTAGAAGAAAAAACATTCAAATTATTACCCAAAAGATATGTTATAAACGTCCCTCACAATCGACAGCCCATCTTCCAAGCCCAACTCTGACCCACCGTACTACCACCTGCAAATGTGATCATCTGATTATTCGCATTTCCTAACCATGTCTCTACGTTCCCAGATCTCGCCTTGGTGAGTACAATATCACCAAAACTGATGGTCAAACCTACGAAAGTACTTTACAGAAGTAAAGCAATAAACCAGAACTATCCTTGAAGCAAAAGTATTACACTTGATGCCGTCACAGGCAAATGGAAACAACCGTGCTTGTTTCCTTTTGGTACAGTACTTTAATGTTACATGTCTAAACATTGTCTAACAAGCTTATGCTAAAATAAAACATGTTTAAACATGAGTGTGAGTTTGATCTTTTTATATGACTGATTAAGAATGAGGATGAAGGCAGCTGATGTTACGGTACTTGCGGTTTTAGGAATATATTGTACATCTGCAGCATTATTATGCTAATGCAGTTATACTTTTCCTGCTTCTCTATGACTCAGCAACAGAAAATCCTGTCTTTGATCATATCATTTGGATTATCTTCTTACTTTTTTGGTGTTTGGTTATTCAAATTACAATGAGCTTACCTCTACATCTACTGGAAGCCAGAGCTTAAAAAAAGAAAAAATCAACACAAATCTTTTTGTTGAGTAAAAGTAGGAATACAGAGACGGAACGGGAAAACAAAATCTGACGCAATACCTTTTTAATTTTGCACTCAGATGTGTTTCATCTTCAATACACTACCTTCTAGACATCACATCACCGGACACAGTCCAGTTTCTTTGTTTCTTGTTACTTTCTCAAGAGCATTGCTGTGTTCAAATCTAAGACAGCATCAGTTTACAAGCTGGGTGAATGTTACAAAAAAGAAAAAAAACATAACAATAATTAACGTTTTGTTAAAGTAGAAAAGCAAAAACAGAATCAGAGAAAAGGTTTCTTGAATTTACTCAAATTGACAGTTTTTGTCAATTACAGACAAACTGCAGTTTAAGTAAAACTTCCTAGCTAAGTCTCAACCAACGTTGAGACTTGGTTTTGTCACATCCTTTATGCCTCTTCACCTTCATCCTATGTGGATCTCCCTGAAGTGCTGTGTGCCAGCGGCTTATGTCGTCGCTGGCACACAGCACTTCAGGGAGTCAGGCGAGATTGTTACGAGCCAGCTCAAACCGCAGGTGAAAACACACTGGGGAACCCCTACCATTTCCCATCCTCTTCTCCAACCCCTCCTCCTCTGAATCCCTCCACCTGTCTTTATCTCTCCCTGGCTGTGTTCTTTATCCTCCTGTCTTTCAACAAGTGTCAGAGAAATCTGCACTGAAAACAAGTCCAACAATCCATCATGGTAGGAAATGAAGCGATGTGCTATTTCCTCATGACCAATCATCTGGTCAACGTGTGCTGCTGCCCTTTGACCTCAAAGTTACATTAATAGCCTGCACTTCCTGATAACTCCACGTAGACCAGTTCGGCCACATAAAAGCCCCCCCCCCCCAAAACCTGGGGCTGCATGTCCACTGTCATGAGCCTCGGCAGTAGCCCACAGGAAATTAACGGGAAAAGTCAATGCTAAAACAAACCATAAATTATGGGCTAAACGAGAAGTCAGATGGAGATTCAGGTGTGTAAAGCAACATTTAGATAATTACAGTACATGACTGAACTGATCACAGCCAGCTGAAGCTTTCAGATATACTGTTGCTTTATGTAAATCAACTTGAGGCTGATTATGAAAAAATGTTATACAAATACAAATAAGCACAAATGTTTGTTTTTTTTCTTAATTAAATGTAGTGGTGTTCTCCATTCATGCAACGATTCAGTTCGATATGCATAACCTAAACTGCACTCTCTGCCATTAATATGCCTCCTCACCCTCTGTGGATGTGTATAATCTAGGCTTTGTTTACTTGTACTCTTTTCAGTTTTGCCGCAAGCTCTCCTTTACCCGTTTTTTGGCTCATAGATGTTATCTCGGGAGCACCCAATACGCAAACCAGCATCCAGCAACACAATGAGGATCACACCACAACAGGAGTCTTCCTGAAAGGTTCCATAAAACTCCAGTGAGAATTGAGAATGTAATAGTGATCTGATAAAGCAGTGCTGAATTGCACCTTGTACCTGGGTCAGCAGTAGAACACATCCCTGCCTGGAAGCAGAATGACAAAATGAGAGGCCCAACTGCTGCGCAAGCGTTTCACTGTCAAGACTCAAACAGTATGGGGCATAAATATGTGTGCTTTTTCTGGTGAGACTTCACAACCCCCTTTTTTCTAAACCTTTCTATAGATATTTTCTGCCAATTAACCCTGCTCCAGGAGAGATTTGCCTATCTCGAGCCCCAGCTTTGCGCCTGTGCAGCTCACGGCGTCACTCTCCCGACGTCTCAGGTATAATTTGCATGCCTCGGTCAAGGCTAAACTGAAGCGGATGAAGCATTGCAGTTTGAAGGTCTCCCTGCTTTATCTGCCGACTCCTAAAAGCCAGGCATATTTGCATTGCTTTTCATTTCCACAGGCTTGGCAGTAGGAATGATAAAGGAAGAGGAGCGCTCTGTACAAACCTTTTTTAACAAAGGAGGAAGTAGCTAATAATTTGCATACGGAGAATGCAAGGATAAGGCCCACACAGGGCTGCCTCGGGTGTTATTATCGCCCTCCATCAACGCTAGGAGCTGATGGCTGTCAGCGTGGGTAGCACAGCCCCACAGAGACGGGCAGGGTCACATCTTGGGTGTCAGATGTGGCCGTCTCCCCTGGCAAAATCAGTCTTACATGGAAAAAAAAAATCAATATTTCAATAGAGGGTATTGTTTTCCAGTTCATCAAACTTCTAGATCTGTGAAATAAACTCCCACAGCGCCTGCTCAGTGGTCAGACCCATCAATCTCTCATTGCTTTATGTAGACCTGTCTTTTACAATGCTCTCACTGCTGCTCACAGATATATTTTATTTACCACATTTTAATCATGCAAAAGATTAATGAAATTTTGATCACTGTACATTATTCAACTTGTCCCCTAGGAGAGGGGTCTACTTAATGGCATGACACCATGCCTCTATTGAATAGTTAGCATCTCCAATAATTTATCCACCATCTCCAACAATATTTATTTCTTAGTCCATCTATTTGTGTGGAGCTACTGAGAAATAATGTAGTGCTCGTAACGGCGGGATCTCTGTAATGTTTTCTTGTTGCTGCGTCTTATTTTGGTTATGGTGTTATCATATTTCTTTTTTTTTTGCAGTCTGTAAAATCATAGTAGGTGATGTGCGGCTGAGGAGTTTTATAGGCAATTTCCTCAAAACACATTTATATAATGTCTCAGATCCAGTGCTCCTATTCCCACTCCTTATTTACTGTCATATGTATAAACATGCCAGTTTTACATGCTCTGCACTTCTCACTGTCCTGCAGTGTTTTATTTTCTAAGACTGTTTGGGCCTTTGAAGGGTGACCTTCAATTCATATATCTATTGCTATAACTCTCTGCTACTATCTCAGTGGGACCTCTGTGGAGAAGATAAAAATTTCTTTTTATGTCTCGCAGTGAATCAAGTCACTTTTATGCCAACATTCCTCTGACTATTCAAACAAAATGAGAATGTTAGCATTCAGGTCCACTCTTTCTCCTTTTTGCATCCCTGTTGAATTTGGATGGCAGCCAGAGAATGTCTCAGAGGTAAATAACGCGTTGAATGTGGCCGTAACCTGGATGCGTTTCACTGGAGAAGCAAAATAAGACGAATCATTTTCGGCATCAAAAACAACAACACATATCCTTGCTTTCACTGTCTGTCCGTGTGACACACTCGTGCAATACTTGCATCACCTGTGTTTGCACTCGCAGCAGTTTGGTCCAGTTTAGTTTTTTTCTTGCTCTCACTCTCACTCCATACCTTTCTGACATGCTCTGACTCTTCTACTTTCTTCAACAACTCCCTCTCCATCTCTCTGTCTTTCCTCACTCCTGCCTCTCGTTCTCCCTGGGGGAAGAGATGTACAGTACCTCTTAGTGCTGTTGTCCTCTGCATGACAGATGGAGCCTATTAAACACATTTTCGTTATATTATGGTAAATAACACAGCCATGTTTGTGTAATATTACTGTTCCCAAGACAGCACTACAATGCAAGAGAAAGTCATATAACCATCTCTTCATGGGGTTACAATGTACACTGTGCCATATCTGTGATTTAGTAATAGACTGATTCAGCTGAGCTGCAGTGTCTCAGTTGTTGTTTTGATTGCAGCTCTGACACCAGCTCATCAAGCCTGATCTCACAGAAGGGGAGTGTGACTGAGTAATGAACTTTCCCCACAAGCCATGAGAGCTGACACAACCACACGCACGGAGCAGTTAAAATTCTTCTTTTTTTTTTCCAACGCTATAGAAAATCAATACCTGCGGTGGCAGGTATGATGTTTATTCAAAATGCACTCCCTCTCTTGATAAAAAGAGGAGAGGAGGTTTGGCTTTGCAGGAAGCTTGGCAGCTTAGACGCTGTCTGTTTTATAGGGTGGACATTCACAGTAACCAGCGATGACAGTTTCTATTTTTATACCCCTCACTCCTCTGAGAGAGATCCTGAAATCCAACACTGTCACAGCGGTTGGCTGCGACAGGGAGAAATTATAGGATAGGAAAAATATGTGATTTTGACATTAGTAACATGCCATAATCATCGACAACTGGCCGAATGTTGTGAGGGTACGTTTTGCACTGTTTACATTGAAGTGCACATATGTGTAAATTAAATACAACAATAATCAAAAGTGTTGATAAGCTAATGCCTCAGAGTTAATGTTAGGTTAGTGGGTTAAGTTAAAGCTCAATTTGGATCAGTGCTCTGTACTGTAAACGGTTGCTAGTATTACAGATCTCACTGCGAATCAACTCCCCACTCCAAAGATCAATGCGGCGTTTAATTTGAGTTCATTTTCTTTTTGTTAAATCACTTCAGTTTACAGTGACTCTCTTAGTCTGTGCACAGCTGCTCTTAGCTCACAAGCTCACAAGCTAACAAGCTTACATAAGCAGTATTTTACCTGCCTTGCCTGTGATGGCAGATGGCTGAAGTAAACAAGTGGATAGTTAAGAAAGTTGCAGATCTAGCCAGCCAAAGAGACACAGACATTTTTTTGGAAGTTACACTACAAACTGTGAGTTCGCTGAACTTTCCTTCAGCGTGATTCAACTGTGTATGAGGACTACGACAAGGCAATGCAACAAATGCATCAGTAATATTGCAATATAGCTTTTTGCCACCAGTGGTGCCACTGAGCACATGTTGCTAAACAGAACT